GTCATGAACTATTCTTTTTTTCCTCAACTATTTAAAAATGCTCTCGGGCCGCAGAAAAGCAGGTGGGCCACATCTGGCCCGCTGGCTACAGTTGGCTGACCCCTGCTCTGGTCCACTGTGTGTCGCTTCAGGCTTATTCTTTACCTTATACATGCATTATCTATTATGAAAGCTTTAAAATTACCTATTATGTTTAAAAGGGTAGCTTGAAACTTCTGGGTGTATTAATGGTACCCAGCTACGACTGCCAATCACCTGGAAAGGGATCAAAATTGGAGATCCTGGGTAGAGTTGGAGAGAAATGTGGAATAAAACTCAAAATCATGTATCAAAAGCCTGGTCTGATGGAGACTGGTGAAATCCCTGCGACCATGGCCCCTACTCACCCTTTAGACCTGGAACTGAACTCACTCCTGTGGCTTAGGGAGCTCTGGTGGTATAGTGCCTGAGGCACTTGACTGCTAACCAGAAGGCTGGCAATTCAAACCCACCAGCCACTCTTCGGAATGAGGGTAGGTTGGGCATTCTACTTCCGTAGTGATACTGCCTCGGAAACCCAAGGAGGGGTCGCTATGAGTTGGATCTGACTCTACAGCAGTGAGTTAGGCCTATAAGGTGGGCATTTACACCAGGTAGGTACACTCCTTAGAAAAATCAATCACGGGAGATAAAAAGGGCAGTATTTGCATAGGGAGATAGCTCAGAGGGCAGGAATGCATACGTAATAAAGACAAACTGAGGGAGGCAGTGGGAAGAGAGCAGTTACATTATGAGGATTCCAACCACCATCAGGAAACAAAATGTGTGCAAACTGTTGAATGGAAAACGAATTTGCTCTGTAAACTTTCGCTGAAATCACAATAAAAAGTGAAAAAAAATTTTTTTTTAGGTGTATTAAAAGGGGGGCAGGGGCTAATCTTGGAGGCCAGTGCTGTGAGGCATGTATCCTGCCCTCTGTGATGGTTAATTTTAGGTGTTAACTTGGCTAGGCCATGGCACGCAGTTACTTAATGGGCAGCCTTGGGGCTGCTGGGGTTGGTTTGCGAAGAGGAAATTCTGCCTCAAGACTCCTTTTTAAAGACGCCATGAGCTCCTCTCAGTTGCTAGCCTGCTGGCCTTCCTTACACATTTCAGACTTTCCAGCCCCCACGATCTTATAATCTAATTCCTTAAAACAAATCATCATATGTACACTAACACACTCTCTCTCACACACACACACACACCCCCTATTGGTTGTGTTTCTCTGGAAGACTGTGGCTGATACTTCCTCTGAGGGTATCAGACTCAAGATATCAGTCGGGTCCTGAGAGGGAAACAAGACATTGGGTCTGAAAATCCGGTGTCCCCTGTGCTGCCGTCTACCCCACTCTACCACCAGAGAGCAGCAGAGAGCAGTGCTAACTTAACTAAACCCAGGCCCACCCCACACTAGCCAGGTAGGTGCCAGGCAGAAGTTGAGCCACATAACTTTCATTCTGCCCACAAAAACCAAAACCAGAACCAAACAACTCACTGCCATCGAGTCGATCCCGACTCACAGCAACCCCTCCTTGTGTTTCCAAGGCAGTTATCACTATGGAAGTAGATCACCCAATCTTCCTTCTGAGGAGTGGCTGGTGGGCTTGAACCACCAGCCTTCTGGTTAGCAGTCAGATGCCTTAGGCACTACGCCACCAGAAATAAGCCAGTATTTTAAAAATCTGTACTTCTGACTCTTCTTTAATCGGGGGATGTGAGTAGCAGCAAGGAGCTCTGGTGGTATAGTGGCTAAATCATTCGACTGCTAACCAAAACGTCAGTGGTTCAAGCCCACCAGCTGCTCCACTAGAGAAAGGTGGGGCAGTCCGCGTTGGTACAGATTTACAGCCTTGGAAACCCTATGAGGCAGTTCTACTCTGTCCTAAAGGGTCACTATGAATTGGAAGTCACTCAATGGCAGTGGGTTTAATGGGTGACTGGCAACTGCCCTTTGGGCCCTGATGCCTGCAGGTCACCTGGGCCCCCCACATCTACTACTCCCACGTGTGCTATTTTCTGAGCACACACACTCCTTTCTTGCCACATGCCTTATTTCCTTCCTCCCTGGGGACAGGTACTAAAGTGAAAAGGGTTCTGCCACCTACCAGCTGTGTGACCTTAGGCCTGTTACACCACCTCAGTTTCCTCATCTGCAAATGGGGCCTAATAGTACCCGCATCAGAGCTGCAGGACTGCTGGCTGCCAGCCAGTGCAGAGCTCTCTGGGCAGTTTGGCTCACGGTCAGTGTTCAGGAGGTATTAGCGTCTCCCCTGCCTGACTTCACAGCCTCGCGTTTGCAGTCCCCCAGTGCTCCCAGACCTGATGCAGAACATACCTCTTGCCAGTTTTGAAAAGTACTTTCCAGCCCACGGGGCTCAGAGCACCGAGACAGTCTGGGTCTGAGGCTCGGCTCTGCCATTACTATCTGCGGAACCGTGGGCAAATTACAGGTTTCCCCTGCTATCCAAAAGTAGAGCATTTTAACGAAACCTTTCGTAAGCTGAAATGATGTAAAGTGAGAAAGCAATTACCATTCATTTAATATGGGAACAATTTTTGAGTGTTCCCAAACCCCAAAAATACCCTACCAAATCATACAAAGGAAGATAAAACCTAGAATAAACTAACATAGTGTTCAGACACAGTTCAAAGCTATGGCGGCTTGACGCGGAGTGTGGTTCCTGGGGAAGGAGCTTGGTGACACCACTGCTGCTGCTACGGGTGCACGCTGCCACTGTAATGGCCACTGCTAAACACGAGCTCTGCTTTTTGCCTTTTTTCATAAAAGTGAAGTGGTGTAAAGCAAACTTCTGACAAGTAGGGGGCATTTGTGCTGAACTCTGGATTCAGGCTGCAGGTCTTTGCCAGCTACATGGGAACTGACATGAGATACCCTGCCAGGGCCGGGGGGCAGGAAACCAACCCCTGCAGCTCCAAGGCTGCCCATCTAAAGAGTCTGGCTGTCTGCCCAGCCACAGTCCTCCTTCGGTAAGCATACCTTTATTTTTCTTCTGGGGCCACCCTTTGCTCTTCTGAGCCCATGCCTTGGAAAGGGCTGATCCTAGCCCTACAACTCCAGATTGACATGCTTTAGCCCTGGCCAATCAGAACACTTCACCACCCTGAGGAAGGTGATTGGCTCATAGGCCAATGAGAGCCTTGCCCTGCCACTTTTGCTCAACTACTGAAGGGGCAGGCTCTTTCCACTGAGATTGCCAAATTGGTCCAATGTTAAGTTCAAACTCAGACAAAAGCACTGCTAGACAGAGATCAAGCTCTGATAAGTCACTTGAGCCCCTGGGACCTGCCAAACCTTGTCGAAACCACTTCTGGAATTTTCAGTTGCATGAACCATAAAATTATTTTAGCTATTAATTTTTGCTTCAGTTACAGTTTTCTGTTACTTAGGAGTTCTAATACCCCCTTCCTTCCATGGTCCCCTCAGGCAGTTATAAATGAAAATTCTCAGAACTGGGAGGTCTTAGGTGATACAAATGGCCAGCTGCCAACTGAAAGGCTACCTACCCAGAGACACCTTGAAGAAAGACCTGGCTACCTGCTGAAAAACCAGCCACTGATAACCCTATGGGACACGGTTCCACTCTGACACACACACGGTCACCATGAGCGCTGACTCCACAGCAACTGGTTTTGGCTCAGCAGTGGGCGAAATGTGGAGGAAAATGAGGCTTATGAGCCACGTCCAAACCAAAGCCCTACCTACAACTTTTCTAAAGACAGTCTATTGTCATTTCCCTGTCAATCCCACGAGGATTTCATTTTCTAACTAACATTGCAGAAACTATCTAGCCCCTGTTCACTACTGAATCCCAGTGCCTAACACATAGTAGGTACTTTTAAATTACTTATTCAGCGAGTGAAAATTTGCAACATCCAGTCGTTCCCCACTTGCCTTAGCCTGACGTTCGGGATGTTTTTCCAGCCTCGTCTCCTCCCATTTTCCCTTCACTCACTCTGTTCCAGTCACACTGGGCGCCCTGCTGTCACTGCTCCAGGTGTGTTCCTGCCTCAGGGCCTTTACACTTGCTGTTGGCAGAAGGCCTTTTCCCCCAGTTAACCCCATCTCTTCCTCTGGGTCTCCATTCCAGTGTCCCCTCCTCAGAGCCCCTCCCTGCTTTTCTGATGTTTTCCTTTCCGGTTTGATTCTGCTTACAATTCACCACCTGTATTTCCAGGGCCTTATTATGTTTATTGTTTCTCTCTCTCAGGGAGCTAAAATGCACCAATGCAGGTCCTTGTTGGTTCAAGGCTGCACCCCTCTGGCCAGCCCAGAACCTGGCACACACCCTGCAGGTGCCAAGGAACATCAGCTGAAGGACTTCCCCAGTAGGGACTAGCCTTCAGTATCCTCTTCCTCATGGCCTCCTGCATGAAGACCCTTCCTCACCAAATCGGGGGGCCTTCTGGAGTGTCGGGAGCAGATAACATTAATCCAGTCTCAGGTGGCCAAAGGCCCACCCTGAGCCCAGTGTTGAGGAGTCTTGAGAGTGGGGCCTCACCTCTGGACTCTCTTAACATGTCCCGCCGACATGAACCAATCAGGAAACACCGCAAGGCAGCCAAGGTTAAGTAGACTCTTGCTGCTTTGTTATAAATATATTATGTACATCCAAAACATGACATTAAAATATTACTCCGTTACAGAAAAGATATTAAGGCTTTCTATTATTTACATTAAACAAGCAAGCACCTTTAAAACAAAACAAAACAAAACAAAACAAAAAAAAAGCCCCACTCTTCCTTCCCTGACATACCCCTGTCCAGAGTGTGTCCCATTGCAAATAACCAAGACCCTTGACAGGGCTGTGCCCTGTGAAGACGACATCCTCAGACCGGAAATAGCAGCTCTGTCTGGAACCTTGTGGGCAGGCAGGTCGGGGCTGGAATGGGGTCTACACTGGGTCATGGAACTCCGGCCTCTCCTGACCACCTGACCTCAGAGACCGTCAAGAAGCTTTGCTGCTCACCCACCCCGGCTCCAGGGGCAGTTCACAGGGCCAGCTCCATGGACACTCAGGTGGGCCAGCGGCTCCCTAGACCACTGGGGACAGAAAGGACTTGATGACCCCAATGCCAGCCATACACACAAGGGCTGCCCAGAGGGTCGAGGGGCAGCTGGCATGCAGGGGTGGGTGAGCAGTGTCCTCTCCACCCGGGGGCTAGGGGCAGCTCCATCTCCTGCAGGTCTGAGGCGTGGCAGGCAGAGCTCAGTGGCTGGGGAGGGGCAGAGGAAAGAGAACGGAAAAAGGAAGTGAATATCAGTGGCTCAAGTATTCTGTGTCACGAGGGGGTGGGCTGGGGGCGCCTGGACCCAGCCCAGGAGGCGTCCTCTCCATCGGAGGGGCCAGCAGCGAGGAGGCTGGAGTTTGGCAGATGGCTTCGGTTTGAGGGGCTGGGGAAGGTTGGCAACGAGGTGGCAGGCCCAAAGAGTTACTTGATCTTCTGAGCCCATTTCATGTCATCCGCCCGAGGCTTCTCGCCCGTCAGGCCCTGGATGATGTCCTCCAGGCGTCGCCAGAAGCCGATCTTCTCCAGCGGGTAGTTGAGCCAACCTGCAGGGGAACAGGCATTGGGGGCTGAGTGGGGGTGGGGCAGTCGAGGGGATGTTGGGAGAGCTGGCCCTGGCTGGGGCAGGGGGCATGAGGAAAGCAGAGGGTGGGGTGTCGGGACCCACCTGCCGTACTCACCACTCAGTCCCAAGATCACTCTGCAGGGACCACTTTGCTTAAGCAGCACCCTAGACCTGCATGGGGGCTCTGGTGGCATAGTGCCTAAGGCATCTGACTGCTAACAAGAAGGCTGGCGGTTCAAACCCCCCAGCCACTCCTCAGAGGGAAGACTGGGCAATCTACTTTCGTAGAGATACTGCCTTGGAAACCCAAGGAGGGGTCGCTATGAGTCAGATCCGACTTGATGGCAATGAGTTTGTTTTTTGAGTTTTAGACCTATCATGTCACCCTCTCGTTTCTTTATAGCCTTTACCACACTCTGTGATGGTCTTCCGTAGTTCACCATTTCCCTGTTTTGTGCTGATCTCTGCTCCAACCCCTAACTAGAATGTAAGTTCCAAAAGGCAGCAACGCTGTGTTCTTCCATTGCCTTATAGCCAGTGCCTAGTACAGTGCCTCAGAATGTTGTTGTCAGAGGCTGCTGAGTTGATTCTGACTCATAGCGCCCCTACAGGGCAAAGCAGAACTACCCCGTAGGGTTTCCAAGGTTGTAACCTCTATGGGAGAGGATCGCCATGGAGTGGCCTATCGGTTAGCGGATGAGTGAGTAATCATTGCATCACCAGGACCCCTCTGCCTGGCAGGAGTAGGTATTTGATACATATTGCTAATAATTTTACTTATATAATGCTTATAAACAGTCCCCTGAATGAAACAAATCTATCTTGGAGGAAGTGCAGCCAGAACACGGCTTAGAAGCTAGGACAGCAAGACTCTGTCTCACGTACTTTGGACGTGTTGCCAGTCCCTGAAGGAGGACATCAAGCTTGGGTAAGGCAGAGGGTCAGCAAAAAAGAGGAAGACCCTCAATGAGATGGACTGACACAGTGGCTGCAACAATGGGCTCAATCAAACACAGCAAGGACAGCGCAGGCCTGGGCAGTGTTTCGTTCTGTCGTACACAGGGTCGCTATGAGTCAGGACCAAGTGGACGGCACCTGACAACTCCCACCACGAGGTAGATACTATCACTAGTCTTGTTTTCCACATGAGAAGATGGAGGATGTCAGAGGGGTCTCTCAATTAGAAGGTGGCCAACCCGGATTTGAACCCAGGTCACTGCGTAGCTAACCGATCTTCCCAAAGAGCCTCAACTGTAACTCCTCCGCCTGCCCTAGAGGTAGCGCGATGTTAGGATGAGGCCACTATTTTCTGTGCCTGTCAGCTCTGACTTCAGAGAGTCTCAGCTTGCTGAGGACCTAGTATGCCCCAACCACTTGGCATCTGCTGCCCTGCCTTCCCCACTGCAGCCCTGCGAAGGTGGCACGCGGACGCGGCAGCTGCAGCCCTGTTGTGTGGATGAGAAAAGTGAGACCCAAGAGGGCACACGTGGAAGAGCTGGGATTTGAACCCAAGTCAGCCTAACTGGCCCCGGGACACGTGCTCACCTCACCTCATGTCTTTGGCACTGGCCCACTGACTGCCAATGGCACATGACTGTCCTTACCATTCCTGGAGGCTCGCAGTGGGCGTGTTCCTGCCTCAGGGGCCTTCACACCTGTTGTCTGCCTGGCCTGATCTCTCTGGAGGGCCCCTGCCACACTTCTTTCAGATTTCTGCTCTCACGATCCTGCCCCTTAGAGAAGCCCTCTCCAACCTCATAAACAGCTGCCCCCGCCCCCAGCCCCTTGCTCTCTGCCTCCCACCCTGCTTTGTTTCCTTCCACAGCACTGACCACACCCACATTCTGTCACCTCTCCTGTGCTCTGCCCTTCACTTGCTCCCTCCAGCCACACTGGCCTTCTTGCTGCTCTGAAATGAGACACACAGCCTCAGGGTCTTTGCACCTTCTGTTCCCTGTCTGGAATGCTCTCCCTCACCTCCTTCAGGTCTTTGTTCAAATGTCACTGCCTCAGTGAGGCATTCCCTGACCAGTATTTAGAAGAACACCCCCCAACCCCCAAATCCTTGCTTTATTTTCCTCCATAGCAGTTAGTGTGCCAGATGGACTATGCGCTCCATTTACTACCTGTCTCTCCCACTAGGTGGCGCACGTCACAGAGTATGGAGTTTGCCAGTTTTGTTCAAAGCTGTATCCTAAGCAGTGCTGAGCACATAGTAGGTGGATGGGCGGTTGGAAGCACAACTCCAGGAGGCAGGGTGGGGAGGGGCGTCTATCTCACAAATTGTATGCTCTCAGCACCCAGAGCGGTGCCTGGCATACAGTAAAAAAACAAAACCCCAAAACCAAATTCACTGCCTTCGAGTCGGATTTGACTCATAGCAATCACTCCTCGGGTTTCCGAGTATCTCTACGGAAGTAGATTGCCCAGTCTTTCCTCCAAGGAGTGGCTGGTGGGTTTGAACCACCAGCCTTATAGTAAGCAATCAAATGCCATAGGCACTACGCCACCAGAGCTCCCAGCCTAGCAGGTGCCCATAAACGCTGTTCTACGATGACCTCCCAGGAAGGCAGGGTCTGGCCCTGAGGGTGGAGCTGGGATGGGCAGGGGTGGCAGCACCTGTGGTGATGCAGAAGTAGGTCTCGTGGGGCGAGACGTGGTGGATGCGGTGGTGTTTCCGTGGCAGGATGACGTGCCAGTCCTGCAGGAGGGTGACCCACAGTGGCAGCCCGAAGTACGTGTGCGACCACTTGTGGATCTGGTTGGTGAAGGTGATAAAGATGATCAGGCAGAAGATGAAGCACTCCCAGGGGTACAGCTGCTCCAGGGCTTCTGCAGGGTGAGAAGGTGCCCGAGGGGCACATCACAGGGGGTGAGGCCCACCAACAGCCTGGCCCTAGATATGACACCCCACCCCACCCCACCCCACCCCACCCCACCCCTGGGCAGCTCTTGCCCCAGGGCAACACCCAGCAGCCTCCTGCCAATTTCCCACAAGGCTTCAAGCAAGCTCAGGCCCCATCCCCTGCTGCTAGGAGCTCTGGTCTCCCCTTCTGCTCAGTGGGCATAAGAAATGGTTATGCATGTGGGTTCCGGTCTCGGCTGGAACTGGGTTCAAACCCTGCTCTGACAGCACTAGGCTGTGGGAGCTTGGGTTGGTGACTTTGGGTCTTGGGAGTCTCAGTTTATTCATCAGTGAAACGGGGCTAACATCATGTGCCCTGGAAGCAGAGTTTGAGACGGTGATTCATGTGCATATGACCGACTGAGAGTGTCTCTCTGGGAACAACACTGCAGGGAGGGAGGACTGGGCAGGAGAAGCCTGATCCATGGGGAGCTCGGGAGCGGGCATGGCCCCCCCGAGCCAGCCCACCCGGATGCAGGGGGGCCTGTCTCCTGTCCGACTTTTTCAGACGCTGGAGACTCTGAGCTCCGGCCAGGGGCGATTCTCTGGAGCAGGGAATTCCAGGCCACAGAAATTTACGCATCTACCCCCAAGGTACTTGGTCAGAGAGGACTATTCCCTGGAGAAGGATGTCATGCTTGGTACAGTGGAGGGTCAATGAAAAAGGGGAAGGCCCTCAATGAGCTGGACTGACACAGTGGCTGCAACGATGGGCTCAGGTATAGCAGGGATCGTGAGGCTGGCGCAGGACCGGGCAGTGTTTTGTTCTGTTTGTGCCTAAGGTCGCTATGAGTCGGGGCTGACTCGACGGCACCTAACAACCACCATCACCACCATGCCCAGGGAGGCTGGCGCAGGACCGGGCAGTGTTTTGTTCTGTTTGTACATAAGGTCGCTGTGAGTCGGGGCTGACTCGACGGCACCTAACCACCACCACCTCCACGCCCAGGGAGGCTGTGTGAAGACCAGTGAACTGTCAGGCTGTCAGAGCAGCACCTGGCATGGGAAGGACTTCTCTTCCCCACCTTATGATGCCAGAACTGAGGCTCAGAGAGGTGAAGTGATTCACTTTGAGGACAACAACAGAACGCAACCACTGCTGTGGAGTCAGACCTGAGTCATAGCAACCCCTCCCTGGGTTTCCGAGGCGGTATCACTACGGAAGTAGGTTGCCCAACCTTCCTTTGGAGGAGTGGCTGGTGGGTTTGAACCGCCAGCCTTCTGGTTAGCAGTCAAGTGCCTTAGCCACTACACCACTAAAGCTCCTCCTACTTCGAGGACACTGCCCACAAAATAGGGAGGCCAAGATTCGAACTCAGGACTATCTGAGCCCACAGCCTATATTCTTTCCACTGAGTCATGGCAGCAAAACCAAAAGTCCTCAGGGCCAGGTAGGTAATGTAAATGAGCAAGGTGGCTGGGTATGGGACAGCAGGGAGTAGTGGGCACAATGGAAAATTAAGAGAGCATGCATCCTGTCTGAAGGGGGCAGCCACAGCTCAGCTCCAGCCCAGTGAAGCCAGGTGGGAATAGCGGCCCAGGGTGACTAGCTCAGATTATTCAAGACAAGCTGGATACGATTTTTATGTCAAACATCCAAGTTAATACGAAGCCAACTAAGAATTTCTTAAACCCTGTGAAGGGCCACAGCTGCACAAGCCACAGAGGTTGGGGCAGACTCTGTCCCTGACAGTCCTATTCCAGTCTACCACCAGCTGGCATGCCTTACCAAGGCTCTGGGTGCGGAACTTGTAGGCCATGTTTAGCAGTGGCAGCAGCGTCACCAGGCAGTTGTCCCCATTGGTCTCAATGAAGTCGTGCCGTGTGATGGCTGTCGGGTCGATGTGGTGCTCCCGGAATGGTCGGATGAAAGCCTGGGGTACAGGGTGGGGTGGGAGTGGGGACAGAGCCCAAGCAGTCATCCCATGGTGGTCAGCCACTCTCTCTGACATCCTGGACACATTCAGCTCGGGCCCATCTCCCTGTCCCTGGGGTGCCCAAACATTCTCACCCTGGGCTGACACAGATCCCACCCAGCCTTCAGGGGCTGGGTCCAGCAGCTACAGCAGAAGATTGGTGGAAATGACCCTGGCAGACACCTTAGGCCGGTTAATGCTCTTCTATGGGCCTCAGTCTCTATCTGTGCTGTGAGGGGGCTTGGAAACCATCTCCACGCTTCTCCCCTGCTCTAAGATAGTCAGGCACCTCTTGGTAACAGGCTGAGACCTCTCTGCCTCCCCACCACCCAAGCCCCTCCTTCTGCTAACAGCCCTCCCCCTTCTCTTACTCTGTCGTTGTTGTTGCTATGTGCCGTGGAGTCAGACCCGACTCATGGTGACCCCTCCTTGGGTTTCCCAGGCAGTATCACTACTATGGAAGTAGATTGCCCCTTCCTTCCGAGGAGTGGCTGGTCTCTTACTTTAAGTGGTTCTAATAGGGTTAATTTCACCATCTAGCTAAGAGGTGAGCTTGTGACTCAGGCCTGGCCTATCAGAGCATTCCATCCCCCTGGCCACAGCAACTGGCTGAGGGATGGGCATGTGATCCAAGCTGGGCCAATGGAAATGAGCCCTGGGACTCTGGCTATAACTATGGGAAAGGAGGGGTCCCTTGGTGGCATAAACTATTAGCCGCTCAACCGCTAGTCAGAAGGTGGGCAATTTAAACCCATCCTGAGGTACTTCGGAAGACAGGCCTGGTGATCTGCTTCTCAAAGGTCACACAGCCTTGGAAACACCATGAAGCAGTTCTGTTCTGAACACATGGGGTTGTCATGAGTCAGAAGTGACTCGACAGCAATTACCACCACCACTACTGGAAAGGAGAGGCTCTCTCTCCACTGGGCTGACTGAGCTGGGAAAAAGGACGTCTAGGGCAGCTGAGGGGCCATCTTGGCCCCTTCATGTGGGGAAAGCCTGCCTGACAGTGAAGCCAACAGAAAGGAGAGCAGAGACAGAAATGGAGAGAGACTGAGTCTAAATAACATCATGTCTGTCCTACTGGATCCAGCCATACCTGAATATGGCTCGACCCCTGAAATTTTCAGTTACATGAACCAATACCCTTGTTTGATTCAGTTTGGACTGATTTTCCGTCACAACAACAACAACAAAATCTGACCAATATGAGGTAAAATTCAATAAAACCAAACAAGAGTGAGGAGCAACGGGTGCACAGAAGAATGCAGCCCCCAAATTCAAGGTGTTTTGGTGAGATAAGCACCTATCAGAATCTCTCTGACCTACTGGGGCCTGATGCTTTTCCTTCCAGAGGATTCTAGGGGATTCCTGGTCCAGTTTCAAGGATGGGGATGGGGGCAGGCTGGACCGAAGTTTCCATCTCCCAGACAGGAAGAGACTCAGAGCGAAAGTGGACTCACCCAAGGTCATGCAGCCCCAGCTCCTCCTGGAGGAGGCGGGCTGGGCTGCAGGGCGGGGTCAGCATACGCACCTTCCCCACAATGGGCAGTTCCACGGAGCCCCATGTGTCGGCACCCCAGTGCACCAGGCCAGACAGGAAGTCAGCGATGAGAGCCCCTACAACTGTGGATGAGGAGTGGGTGAGCCGGGGGTGGGGAAACACTCACAGGACACCCTGCCCACCCACAACGCTTCTGGCCTCGACTGCCCCTTTATTTGCTCCGCCCCATCTGCTTGGTGAGTCTGGAGGGAATAAACTAAGCATGCTCAGCTCAACCTTTCTCCACTACAAGCTGGCCTCTTTTCTCTCCGTCCTACCCCCGCCCTGCTCCACAGGGGCAAGCCCATTCTGCTCCAGTGCTGCCGGGGATGAGATGGACATGCCAGGTTTCTTCCGGGGTTTGGTGCCAAGAAGTACCCTGCCTCCAGACAGAAGCCACACCCGCTAGCCTAGCTTTCCTCAGCAATCAACACAGTAATTCAGCCTTTGGCAGCTGTGTCCTTGTGTTTGTTCTCAAACTGTTCAGAACTGTGGTGGGGAAGTGGGGTGCTGGTTACTGGGTCACCTCAGAGACCCCAGCACCACTGACTCACTTGTGGGTTCATTATAACAGAGATTAACAGCTGGGCTCTAACTCCAGCTCTGCCACTCACTAGCTGAGTGACTTTGGCTATGTTACTTAACCTCTCTGTGCCCCAGTTTCCTCTCACTACTGAGCACTTCCTCAGGGCCAGGCACAGTGCTCTACATGCTTGGTCCACCTGAATTCTCATCTGTTGGGACGCTGGTACTACTTTTATTTCCACTTCACAGAATCTGAGGATCAGAGAGCAGAAGTGAGCGGGCCAAGGTGACACCAGTGGCAAATGGCAGAGGTGGGCTCTCTACCTGCTTAACCCAATCTAACCCAGGAGAATACACGAACACCGTCACACACATAGGCAACTAAGGCCGAGTGGACAGCCACCTAGAACCACCCCATCACTCTTCCCCCAGACGGCATCCCAGCCTCTCTGTTGGTTCATTTTCTTCCTTTGCAAACATGCGCACGCCTGCCCTGAGACTTTGCATTTGCTGTTCCCTCTCCTTGGAACACTCTTTCCTCCATCACACGATGCCCTCCCCGGACACCTGGTCTAAAGTGGCACCCTCCCGTCTTCTTCCAGCACCTTCTATCTTGGGCCCTGCTTTTTCTCCAAGCACTTATCACCTCTGACTTCTTTGTTTACCGACTCTCCTGTTAAGAACATCAGCCCCACAAGGGCAGGGAGTTTGGTCGGCGTTGTTTATGGCTGTATATTCCCAGCTCCTGGCACATAGTAGGGACTTAGGAAATGTTTGCTGAATTAATCAGTGTAGAACCCTAAGTACAATGCTTGGCACATACTGAGCTCTTGCTACTTGTTTTGTTGCTGCTATTGTTACTCAGTCATTTAATCAACCAGTCAACAGTCCACAAAGTCCTGCTGTGGGCCGAGCTCTAGAGACAAAGACACCTCAATCAGACACTGACCTCACCATCATGGGGGGAGGGAATGAGGGGAGATACGCACAGGACAAGGGCAGCGTTGAGTGATCCCAAGTGCAGTGTAGTCTTCTGACTTTAGCCACACCCCTTTCCCCATGCCCTCCCCAGTTTCCTTGAATGAGGTCGTGTGAGGCCCAGGTGGGACACTTAAGGGCTCTGCGTGTCTTGCTGGGACTCTCAGCCACTCAATAATGGGCAACTAGGGCCTTGGGGCAGTGTGGAGGCACAGAACAGAGCAAGTCCCCAGTGGGCCCTCTGGGGAGTGGGATTTCTATGTGCGGCTCACTGTGGACACCTGCGCCAATGCCAGAGGCCCAGGGGCATCCATGCCACAGACACCAAACACAGAGGAAGGACATGCAGGGACAGCCGTGTGCAGGTGCCTGTGCGTTCCTGGTGACAAGGGCGGAAGGGGACATGCAGCAGCGATACCGGCTGGCATGTGGAAGCCAAGGATGGGCTGGAGGAGGTCGCCCCATGGGTGGCTGGAGTTAGGGAAAGGTCAGTGCCCAGCAAAGGCCTGAGGACCTGTGTACCCAGATGCCTGCCCTGGGCTGGGCAGCCTCACTCCTCAAGGTGGGTGAGTGGAAGCCTGGGGCTCCTGCCCTTGCCTGGTGCCCCCTTCCCTACGGTGCCTCTGTGGCTGCTGATCCTCAGGGGAAAGGGGCCCAGCCCCCAGGGGTGTTCTCAGTCACCTCCTACTGCTGTATTTCCTTCACAGTACCCGTCACTTCCTGTAATAGTCTCATTTACGATTCCTACTTCCTGGATGAGGAAATAGGTTCAGAGAAGTTAAATAACTGTCCCCCAGTCACACAGCTTGGAAGGGGCAGTGCTGGGATGGTGTGGTGGTTATGTTTCTGTGTCCACTTGGCTGGGCCTGGTTGAGTGGCTGGGCAGCTGGTGGTAGTTATTCCCCTGAGACTGGCAATCAACTCCATGGTGGGATCTACCACAAGTAGCTGAGCAGCTGCCTTTGGGATGCGGTCTGCTTCCTGAATATAAGGAAAAGCTTGGACCCTGCATGTAGCTGTGCTGTTGCTCAGTAGCCTGCTATGCTCCGCCGACCTTGGGACTTAAAAATGGACTTAAGTTAATGGCCTGCCATGTGGTTTGGTAATATTGGAACTGTGCCTTTTTACTTGTCAACCTTGGGGCTTGTCAGCCTCAGCAGCCAGCAGCTGTCTGAGTGGAGAAATGCCTCTAGCTCCAGTGGGCTGGGAGCAGGAGGCAGAGCTGGACCCCAAGGTTGAGGGGCTTTCACCCTGCCCCTAGAGCCTGGCACTTTGAACTTGGACTTAAGGCCTCCAAATTGGAAGAATAAACTCCTGTTTGTTAAGGCCATGCCATTTGTGGTATGTTTCCTGTTAGAGCGGCACAAGGGAACCAGAACAGAATTTGGTACCGAGAGAGTGGGTGTTGTTCTGACAGATACCTAAAATGTGGAAACAGGAGTGGAGTGAGTCCTTGACCCAAGACCCCGGCAGAGAGACCCTGGCATATGGCATGAGAGATGGCAGGAGCCAAGTCCAGAGACTGGCATGAGAAGAGCAAGAGACCGGCATGAGAGACAATGGTAGCAGAGCCAAGAGAACTGGCATGAGCCAGCAACAGCCTTACCAGCCCACGGAGGAGAAAGCTTGATGCCTTTGGTTCGGTGGCTTATTGGCAGAGTGGGTTGCCTTCGGGCATTAACTGATAAAAGAGACCAGCATGAAATGGAGTGGCAGGTTGGCCAGCCCACAGAGCAAGAAAGCTGAGTGCTTTCTGGGCAGGGTTTTCCAGTGGAGTGGGTTGCCCTCAGGCATTAATCGGCAAGCAGAGAGACCAAGGAAACGGAAGCAGAGCTGCCTCAGCCTCAAAGGGTAGGACCATGGCCTTTGGGGGTGGAACCACCACAGCCCCCTAGGTTTCAAAGAGCCAGGCCTTCACCAACTTGCTTCTGGAGTGTGGGGCTGCTCGTTTGTGTGAGCCAGTGGGATGGAGCCACAGCCGCTGCCCAAGAGTGAGGGGACGGGGCTGCCATGCCCAAGAGGGAGAGGAACGGGGCCCGCCAAGCCAAGGGGGTGAGGTCAGCACTTAGAGGAACTGGGGGACTGGAGCCACCCAGTGAGGAGATCTGTACAGATGCCACCCAATGAAGGTCTGTACAGATGCCAAGTTGACAAGGGGTGGAATTGTGGTAGTCATGTTTGTGTGTCCACTTGACTGGGCCTGGTTGAGTGGGTGGGCAGCTGGTGGTAGTTATTCCCCATGATGAGACTGGCAATCAACTCCATGGTGGGATCTATCACAAGCAGCTGTGTAGCTGCCTTTGGGATGTGGTCTGCTTCCTATATATAAGCAGAAGCCTTGGGAATGGTCTCTAGCCTATGGCACGCTTGGACCCTGCATGCAGCCGTGTCGTTGTTCAGCAGCCTGCTATGCTCTGCCAACTTTGGGACTTATAATGGACTTAAGTTAATGGCCTGACGTGTGGTTTGGTAATATTGGGACTGTGCCTTTTTTACTTTTTACAACCTGGGGGCTTCTCAGCCTCAGCAGCCAGCAGCTGTCTGAGTGAAGAAACACCTCTAGCTCTAGTGGGCCGGGAGCAGTAGGCAGAGCTGGACCCTAAGGCTGAGGGGCTTTCACCCAGCCCCTAGAGCTTGGCACTTTGAACTTGGACTTAAAGCTTCCAAACTGTAAGAGAATAAATTCCTGTTTGTTAAGGCCATCCCATTTGTGATGTATTCCTGTCAGAGCGGCACTGCTAGAACAGACAGGAAGAGACGTGTCTAAATCAAACAAAAAACCCACTTTCACTGAGGCGACTCTGACTCATGGTAACCCTATGGGACAGAGAATTGCCCCATAGGCTTTCCAAACCTGTAATATCTACAGAAGTTGACTGCCTCATCTTTCTCCCACAGAGTGGCTGGGGGGTTTGAACCACTGACCTTTTGGCTAGTATCTGAGAACTTAATCACTGTGCCACCAGCGATGTGTCCTACCTGCCCTCCTGCCAGCACCCTTTCACTCCACTATATTGTATCTTGGTAGGTCCAAGGGCACATTAGCAGGGCTTCTACAGCATGTGGCAATGGTGGCGCTGATGGGGCAAACTGTTCACTGAAATGTTGGTCGTTTAAGTTCACCCAGACATGCCATGGGAGAAAGGTCTGCCAGTCTGCTTCCGAAAAGTCACAACCTTGAAAACTCCTGGAACAGTTCTACTCTGCACATGGAGTCTCTGTGAGCTGGAATCAACAGGATGGCAACTGTTTGGTTCTTTCTGACCGCGTGCTCCAGGATGCTGTGTGCACATTGCCTACTGGGAAGAAGAGGCTTTGCAGCCAGGAGCTAAGGTGGAGGAAGGCTGAGAGTCAGGGGCCTCCTCTCTGGCCTCCACCTCACTGTGTGACCCTGGGCAAGCTGCTTGCCGCACCTGCGTGGAGAAAGGTCAGCTGCGGTGTCTCAAAGGCCTCTACATGCCACCTTTACAAGAGAAGGGATGGGACTCCCCCAGGGGGCATGGTCTTGTGGGGACTAGAGTCCTGGTTCTTTGTTTCCCAAGTACTAGGTTCACTGCGAGGTTCAGACAAACCCCTTCAC